TGAATACTACTGGTAACTTGATAGGTACTATTTTTGTTCAGATACCATGTATGAGGTAACTATACCTATATCTTATTTAAATTTGTATTTTGTTTCTATATTTTACTATTTGCTCTTTTGTTAATTGTGTAAAATTCACTAAGATCGATGATCTTTCTTTCCTATAAATCGTATTCTTCAAGATACAAATTCGACTAGAAAGCAATTAATTGACTCTTTCATTGATGAAGAATTTCAACAAACAAAGTTTTTCTATAATTTGTTCTTATTGCTTTGTTTTGAATGTTGTCGACCGAAACCGAAAGCGAATCGAATCAAGATGCCTCTATTAGATTTTCTTTGTCGAGTTTGCAAATCCGTTGGAACAAAAAAAAACAACAAGAAGCGATCACAAACAGAAGACGTTGAAACATATTATATGACAGTTTGATACATAAGAACAATATGCATATCATCAGTTATTTTATTAAAAAAGACGAGATAAAATGCAAATTATTACCTTCCGGTCTATTGTTAAACGATAGTGTTCTTTATGTAATGGTGTAGCTATTGAGTGACATCTAAAAGGTGATAAAACCCAAAAAAAAAGATCGAATGAAAATCGTTTATCATAAAAATAGTCAAGAAACTCAAAAATAAAGAACAAAGATTCGAATTTTCAAGTGTTAATTTGTAATTGACACTAATTAAATTGGCTTAACAATGTTGTATGAAACCAATAGTTGATTGGAATAAATTACAAAACTAAAAAAGAAAAGAATAGTTGTTCAAAAGAGTTTAATCCAGTACGTTTAATTGTTGTAAACAAAAATGTTAGTTGTGAATGTATAATCAAATGGCACAAATGTATACTATAATGTAAATATTGTTCCATAGATTTAGCATTTTTTTTCATGATATTTCATTTATTACCTCAAAACAATGCTTTGATATTATAAGTTTCATAATAAAAAACATGTATCAAGAAAACAATGTACTTGTACAATAATATCGAGCTTGCTAAGTGATTTCTGTTCATTACTTCTTCTTCAGCTGTTTACGTTATTTTTTTCAAATAAAGTGCCTTGCTGAAATAAGCTAATACCTTTTAATTTTAAAGTTGTTCGGCTAATTTTCCTAGCCATCAGTTTTTGATCGTTCAGTTGTTAAAAATTCGCTCCATTCATGAAATTCCAATCTTTCAAGCATAAAATATATTCTCCTTCTCCGATTCATTATTACCAAATTTCTATGAGTGATTTTACTCCATAAAATCTACTTTTTCTTGTACTTATTGTTTTCAAGAACTGAATAATCTTTGAATATGTACGAATTGATCAGCAGTAGAAAAGGTGACCAAACACAGAAAAAATATAAGAAGCTTACTCAGAGAAGAACATTAGAACGGCATCAGTAAGTAATGTAGGCGAAAATAATAATATATTTTTTCCGTAATGGTCTGTATCAATCGAATCAAGTATGAATGAAGATTTCTTATTAATTTCTATCTCTGATTCATGAGTAGAATTATGCTTTATGTTTCAATCATTATGATCATGATGTTATGATAACGAACGCGTTCTGTTTTATATATAAAAGTAATTTAATTGAAATACTTATTTTATTTTTCAGATATAACAACTCTTTATTCTTTTTTATTATTCCTTATTATATGAGTTTATTATGTGGGAGGTTACCACACGAATTGTCTTGTCAATTATTGCTATTTTGTTGCCACCTGCTCCTGCACTTTTTATGGTATATTACTTTCTAGTTAAAGTCATTGGTAATGAAAAGTTCTTTTTCATGGATTTAGGTTGCATTTAAGTCACATTTTTGGTTTAATTTACTATTGACTCTTCTCGGATGGATACCTGGTGTTATTCATGCTTTATGGCTTATATGGGCTGGTCCAACAGCCAATTAATTATGCATATATAAAGCGAAACAACTTGCACGCTTAGACATTTTTTCTCCTGTCCGTTTTAGTCTTTACGTGCTCAAGGTTGTCGAAAACAAAATTATCATTTTTTTTCTTTTTTCTTTCTTTCTTTTCTGATGTTTAAATTCAGCAAATTCTCTTAAAAAATGTCTATAAGTTGTGATAGGACCAAGGTGTCGGAAGAGTTTAGTATGCTTGCTGCAAATAATATTGATATTTTTGCGGCTCAATACGCATGGTCATCGTATAGCTGGATACGCTTGCATTCCTCAATGATGCTAGAAATTATGTTCGTTAGCAGCAGTTCCATATCGTTGGTTTTCTTCAAGGTTGATGTGCATCCATTCTTTAATCGCACTCACATCCACACATTATCTTAATTGATAGGAATGTAATGATCGATCCAAGAGTTTCAAGTTCTCTCTCCGATAAAATGTCTTCACTTTCGAATTACAAATCAAAAACAGTCAGAGTTCGACCTAGAAAAGTAAAATTGTTATTGTCAATTAAGCAGTCTAGTCACCAAGTCTAGAAATACTCTTTCCAAATAATTGTATTTAATGAAAACTGTTTAATACTATTGTTATCTATATTACGATCATCGTCTTCATCTTCATGGTTTTTTCTAATCGATTTTTCCCGAATGCCTTGTATTTCGAATACGGTGTACATGTTCCATTTGACAATGTATTATAGTTAATAATTCGTTTCAGCATCTATGAAAAAGTATACTTTTTTTCTAGCCATTTCTGCTGATTTTTGTTGTACTGAACACCATCATGATCTAACATTTGCTTTGTAAATTAATCTTCATTTCTTTTATCAATACTCCTAAGAAAGAACAATTAATTAAATCTCAATGAGCTGACGACGATGACTACTATGTATAAGTAAATATTGAAACAAGAAAACTATAAGAAATATATGACAATGACGTAAGACAGTCGAAGCAAAACAAGTATGACAGATGAGTGATACGAATCATCGCTTCTGTGTATTTTTAACTGTTTCCTTGGAAAATAGGATTAATTATAGTGAGTCGTGGTCTCTGTATGGCCATAGTCATGATACATAATAGATATCTTTTATTATATACCAGAGAACGTCACAGGATATGTGCTCTGCAGGAACAGAACTATCTTTGGGATTCGGAATCTGCATGATAATATTTGAGTCTTGAGGGCATTCAAGTTACTTCATTGATTGTGATCTAATGAAGCTCTCAACTATCAATAAAATTCGTTATAATCATCTAGTGTTATCAAAAGTAGTGAGAAGAGTAGGTGTCATAGCAGCGGCGACTACTTTGTTGTAAATGTTATTTAGTACAGCTGAATTGAAATTCATTCAAATATGAACATGTACATCACTAAGCCAAATTGATAATATTATATATTCGTTCTTGTGAGCAATTCAAGAACAGCAATAAGAAGGGAACAAATACTTTCTTTTTGTCCATCTGTTTGTATCGATTACATGTTGAGTCCTGTATTTTTTTATAATTTTCCGTCTCATTCCAGCTGAAAACACATATGATAGCCTTAATAAACATCATCATTTCGAACGCTTATTCTATCAAGAAAGGATCTATGACATTTGACATCGTGCCTCATATACTGGAAAGTTTAATGTATTTGTCAAAAAAAGGAAAAAGAGACTGGCTTGCAGATCGATCGTTGGAGTTCTTGGTCCTGCGAGACAGCATAATTGGATGAAAAAATCCTGCAGAAAATAAATCAAAATTTTCATTTGAATTTGAGAGCAAAAAAAAACATAGTTTTTGTTTAACTACTTTTGAAGGTTTCGTATTGTTGGGAACTAACAGTTAGCAAAAAAAACGAAAATAGACTAAAACTCGCTAGTATAGATTCCATGGCTTTTTTTATCGTGAAATATTCAAATAGGTATGATGGGTTTTTACAGTCCTTGACAAAAAATTCGATACAGTTCAAGAAAACATCGAAATCAAAAATGAGACACGAAATATAGTCGCATTTTTACCAATCTAGGTTATCATGAAACAGTATTAAAACTGCAACGTTCAACATCATATTTCGTAATAGTAAGAACACTATCATAACATTCTTATTGTATTTTAATGTTAACTCTCTTGAAACAACAAACGAAAATCTACTAAATTCTTCGTTTTTCATTCAATAATAGTAAATGTCGGAATTTTTCTTCATGGTTAAATGACTCTTTCGGCTTTTTGAATGTCGATATTCTATTCTCGCATTTGCATATAAATTTGTTGCATCGATTTGTTCGTACTTACTGTGGCATGTATTAATACAAATTTCTAATATATATGTAAGTCTAATAATAAACAACGGAAATTTAAAGGAGAAGAAAACATTGATGATAAATCGCTGAATGAATGTTTCACAACTGAAAGCGAGCATGATACTCAATAAGATTAATCTGTAGAAGTGTGTAGACGAAAACATGCTCTTTATTAGTGATTCAGACAAAATTATGATGATTCTGATTCTTTACAACGCATGTAATAACATTAATATACCTCCTAGCATATGCATTATTGTTATGTATGAAAGAAATATGTTGTTCTTTAAAGATTTGCATATAATTTTCTTTGAAAATTTTATTTTTCTAGTTTTCAGATAAAATAATACTGCAATTCTATTTGTAATTCATTGATATATAAATCTATTATACTGCGATTCAGCTTAATTCTCTTATCAATTTTGGCTGTTATATTATCACCAGTAACTGCAACTATTCATGTATATGTTTTAAAATTCAAATCGTTCATAATGAAAAATTGTTTTTCATTGATTTGGGTTGTTTGTTGGCCATATTTTGTCTTAACATACTATTGACTCTTCTTGAATGAATACCTGGTGTTATTCGTGCTTTATGGCTTATTTGGTATCGTTCCACAACTGCTTAATTACGTATATATAAATCAAAATAGCTTAAAACCTTGTACATTTCTTTCTCATATTGATTGTAATATATCAGTACTTCGAGTTTCAAAAGAATGAATAATCATTTTTTCTTCTTTTTCTGTCTTGATTATTAGATATCGAAATTTAGAAAATTCTTATGAAGAATATGTCTATAAATATTTATAGGGCAATGATATGGGCCACGATCTGTATCTTGTCAAGCTTTTTTTGGCTTGCAGAATTTCATTTGATCCTGATCGACGTTCATCATTTGCTTGAACAGTAAGTGATCGACTATCAACTTCAGGTGAGGCTTTTGTTACTTTGTTTGAACTTATACGAAATAATTTTGCATAAGGATGATATGGATCTGAACCCATGAATGTTGATATACCGTTAACATCAAAACTACTCCATAGAATATCAGCCATCAATTGATTAACAAGTGTAGAAATAGAACCGAGCAAATTGGCCACCATCACCAGCACTATAAGTGTTGTAGATAGGTCTATTAAATTGTTGATCAACGAAAACTCTATTATTGCGACTAGAATGTTACATAGAATAAGATATTGTGTCAATAATCTTCTGAAAATAAATTACACAAGGTGTGAATATGTGCCTGAGTATGAATTTTCCATTCTCGCACATCCATGCCGTCAAGATTTTGAGAAGTTTCATTTATTCAATTTGACAACTGTATTACAATTAGCATTAGCATTAGTTATGTTGAAATGAAATATGAACAACAAGGAATAAAACAAATCAATATTAGACCGATCAGGAATGGTTCCAAGTAGATGATGATTAGTATGAAATAATACAAATGTATGCACCAAGTACAAACAATGTCTTAGAGGCAACCAATAAGGCAATCAAACATAATAGAACGTTTTGGAGAAAGTCATTTTTTCCAAGATTTTTGACAAAAGCATCAAATATTGTCAATTGTCAGCCACATGAATAGGACTCTTCCTCAATTAAGGAAAAAGGTCTTGCTACAGTCTCACCAATATCCTTGCAATTATGGAATTTTTCGTATCAATACACTATATTAATGAAATATATAATTTGTATCTCCAATGATTTTTCAAAAACATATAGACGAAATCGTAATTCACAATCAATCAGACAAATCAATTCAAATTAATATAAAAATAAAAAGTAGACATCTTTTAATCAATCGAAAAAATCATTTAATATTTAGTGTATGAAAATGATGATTGCTAAAAAAAAGAAAAAGAGACAATTCAAGTAACAGCACTATAATTGAATTTTCATTTTCTTGTTCCTTCATTTCTTGAATTACTATTTAATGTACTCGTGGATTTATCATTATTTATTTTATCGTTTTGTTTAATTTTTGTAAAATTATTTTTCTTTTACGTCACTAAGCTATTTTGAATCAAGCTTATTTGTTTGGTTGATAAAAATCTCCATTTTTGCTCATCAAATTTGAATTTTTCACTGATACTAATTTATAAAAACTAATTATTTTGGCATTAACCAGTCTATATTGTAGCTCATGACTTGTATATTTTTTTTTTTGATCATTTCATTTATTTTATTGACGAAATATGATGTTATTTTTCAGATTTCTATATTTTATATGAATGACAAAAATTTATACAGTAAAATCACCAAGTATACCATGGTATACACGATAATTATGTTTAATGAAACTTATTCAATGTTATTGGTTTTTTTTTGTCGATTTGTACGCCATTTTTTGCCTTTTTATATGAAACATAAGTTGCTTTGAGCAGGTATAATGGTTAATAAGTTTTTCCAGCATCTGTCAGAGACTATACTTCTTTTTGTGCTCATCACTTATAATATTTTTCATGATCAACGCCATCGCTCATGAACATTCAGTTTGTAAATCAATGGTCATTTCTTTTATAATTACCCGAAGAAGAAAAATTAATAAAATTTATATTGACAAACGATAGCTACTGTGTAAATAAATATTTCAACAAGAAAAATATAAGATACATGTCATAGTGACCTTAAAAAATGAGATACGACAAATGTTACAGATGCCTTCAAATGAGTCATTACTTCTATTTTTAATAGCTATTACCGTTTGAATAGGACCATCCTACATACCCATGATGTATATATGATCATAGCCATAATATATCATAAATATCTTTGATTGCATATCAAAAACAAAATGGAAAAGAGAAAAAAGACATCGAAATTGAGTAAATGAACATTTCAAGACGACCTTGAGATATTATGAAAGTTTTCTTATTCATAATCACTATAACTTAGAAAGAAAAACGAAAATAGGCAAAAACTTGGTGGCAAAGATTCAACAGGTTTTTCTTTATAGTGATACATTCATATTCGTTTAATATGTTTACTTTAATATGTCTTCAAAAAAACAAAATTCTATAGCATCTGAAAAAAATATCGAAATACAAAGTGATATATCAAGTGTTGCTCGATTTAAATCAATCTAAATTAGTAAACAATAACAATTGTATTGTAACTTTCAAGATCATATATCATAATGATATGGACATAATCATAACATTCTTCTATCATTTTAATGGTAATTATATTGAAACAAAAACCAAAAACATACAAAATTCTTTGCTTCTAAGTTGATATTAGTAAATATTGGAAGTTTTTTTATTATTGAGAAAGGATAATTTGACCTATGTGAATTGTAATATTCTATTCTCGACTTTCCACATCATTTTAATAGGTTTGTTTATTCGAATTTATCGTTAAATCTATCAGAGACTACCGATATATCCATATGTCTAATAATAAATAACGAAAATCAAAGAAAAAGAAAAGATTGGTGATGTATCATTGAATCAATACTTTAAATAACCGAGATTAAGCAAAACATGATATGATCTGTCGATGGATTCATGCAGATAAAATTGTCCTCCTTACAGTAAGTAGATATATTTGCCTCGCATTCTTAAAAGCAAACGTATCACTTACATATTATGCAAATAATTTAGACTTTTTTTTGTTATATTATATATAAACATGTTTTGACCCGTTTGAAGAGTAGCTTTACAGAAAAAAATGCTTATTCATTGGACCATAACGGACATATAATATATCAATACTCGTACATTTGGTCTCAAATTTAAGATAGTCATGTCTTTCTCTCATTCGATATAAACATGTAGGTAACATAAGGATAAACATATTGACAATCATTTTGATGCATACTTCTTTCTATGCATGTTATTTATTCATCTGAATCATCGTGAAAGTACAGTATAATGTTGAATATTGAGGGTAACTCGACATGTATTGTTTTCGTTTAGACACCATGTATGAAATAGATATATCTATGCATTAGTTAAACTTGTTTAAACGTCTGTATATTTTATTGTCTGTTTAACGTTTGTTAATTGTGTAAAATTTACTTCAAGAGTCAAACTTTTATTGCAATTCATGTTCGCCAGAAGAGAAATGTAACAATAAAGCAATTCATTGAGCTTTTCATCGATTAAAGCTTTTAAAAAAGCCGATTTTTTCTATGATTGATCTCTCGTTCTGTCTTTTGAGTATTGATCCATAAAATTGCATTTTATTTTTTGATTATTATAATTTTGTATGAAATGAAATATGTTCTTTTTTACATATTAATATAATATCATCTAAACATATATGTTTGTTATTGGGTATGGCCAACTAACTCTGCTACCGAAGTGAAATTCCGTAACGTTTTTCGCTTATTTTGTTTTCTCGATAAATATCAGGCAGTAGCACGTGAAGAGTTGCGAGACGTCTTAAATTAAAGAGAAAAGTCTTGTACATATTTTAAGATATTTTTCGCTTTTGGAACATTTGTCGTTTCCAAGATGTAACAAAAGAATTGAACACCACTTTTGAAAAAGTAATAATTTTCAGAATTGAAAAGTAGTTATCAGTTTTTTAATTATATCTTGGAAACGACAAACGTTCCAAAAGCGAAAAATATCTTAGAATATGTACAAGACTTTTCTCTTTAATTTAAGACATCTCGCAACTCTCTACGTGCTACTGCCTGATATTTATCGAGGAAACAAAATAAGCGAAAAACGTTACGGAATTTCACTCCGGTAGCAGAGTTAGCTGGCCATACCCTATTAGAGACAACAACACTTCAATTTCTTGCACTACTCATTTCTATATCAATTTATTATGAGTATGTTCATGGAAAACATGTATTCGGCATTTTTGGCTACTGTATTACCACCTGCACTTGTATTTATTCGAGTATATTTCTTTTTAATTAAAATGATTTATAATGAATGATTGTTTTTTTTAATGATTTAGGTTGGTTGTACGAAACATTTTGGGTTTAACTTAATATTAACTCTTCTTGGATGGATGCCGGGTGTTATTCATGCTTTATGGATTATTGTGAATGATATTACAAGAGATTCTGTATATGAAAAGAAAAATGAATAAAAGACTGAAACATTTTCTCTTATGTTGATTGTAATCAATCAACGTTCAAGTTTTGAGAAAACTAAGCATTGCTGCCTTTTTCTGTTTTTTAATTATACAACATAGAAGCTCAAAAGATTCTTGAAGTCATCATGTATAGAAATAAATAAAACGAAGATGTTAGAAGAATTTATTAGAGTGGCTGTCAGTACTGTGGAAGTTGTTACTGTCGATCGTATTGATATTGTGTCAATGACAAATGGAGTGGTCGTGGCATAGCTAGTTGCAATTACATCTGCCAATGATGCGAAAGACTTGATCCATTAGGAGCTATTGTATTTCTTTGAAAATCATGTCGATATCGCCTTATGGACGAATTACATTGATGTTGAGTTCTTTCTTCAAAATTTACAAAAAAAAACAGTCGACTTGCATCTTGCTAGTACTGCAATCTAGATCAAATGATAGGTTTTTACTTTTCAAAATTTCTCTCGGTTCTGTTCGACATTCATCATGTGTTATATCCAAAGAGAAAAGTGATACTTCAGCACTCCAAAGTACGATCGAAGTACGAATCGATTATCATATTTTATTCGTACTTCGGAATGCTGAACTGTCGCTTTTTACCCAGTGGCTTGAACAATATATTGTCGAACATCATGTTCAATTGAAATTTATGTTACATTCATTGAACTTGTACTATATATTTTTCCGTATGGATTACATAGATATGAATCCACAAGTGCTGATATATCAGACACATTAGTACTACTTCGTAGAATACAACCACAATGTATGAGTAAGACTAAAGAAAAGAACCTAGCAAAGCACCATTACTAGCATTATAAACGTTGAAAATAGATCTATTAAATGTTGATCAATGAGAGCTCGATTATTGAGACCAAAAGAATGGACGCCCTCTTCACTCTCATCCAGAGTCATACATTATCTTAGTTAGTAGGCGTGTAAAGATCGATCCAAGAATTTTGAAATCTCTGAATTAAAACGCATTTTTTCCCAA